TGGTGGCACGAGGTGGATGTGCTGGGCCAGGTCAGGGCCTGGGTGGCCGAACGGGCAGCACTTGGCACCGCCGGCCACTCCTGGGCAGCCGAACCCAGTGCCGAGACCACCTGGCTGGAGCTGGACCTGGGCACCCGCAGGAATGTCACAGGTGAGGGGGACAACAGCTGCCCGTGTCCCTGCTCCACCCTGACCACTGTGGTGACACGGTGCCAGCCCCGTTGATCCCCACAACACCACACCCCCACAACTCCCAGCACGCACTGGAGCTCCTTGTGTCATGGTTTTACTGGGATACAAAGCAAATCAACTCCCCCCCCCGGCTGTGCCCTGTCCCCCTTTTTGTCCCTTCTTTCCCCCCCCCCCCTTCATCCGCGGCAGTTTCTGGGACGAACAAGTTAATATTATGCTCTTGCATCTGGTGCCAGCGAGCGCCTTTTGTGCTTCGGAGCCTGCCCAGAGCGGGGGCTTTGTGCGCCGGCGGCCGGCCAGGAAAATGGGCACATTGTCCGCCCGGAGGCTGGAGGAGGGAGGAATGTGGGGCTGGCAGCCGGGGCCGGAGGTTATCGGCTGCTGGGAGCAGAGCGGCGGGGGGGGGTCCCGCGCTGGAATCTGCCACCCGAACCCCTTCCCGGGGTCAGAGGGACCCCCCTCCCGGGGTCAGAGGGACCCCTCTCCGCTGGGTGATGTCCTGCCCTCCTCCTTTCCCGGCTGGAGTGTGGATGTCCAAGAGATGGGGGTTATTCCAGCCCTGCCCCAAGCTCTTCCCCAGTCCTGCACCCCGTGACTGGCAGCGGGGACCCCCCTCCTGCACCCACAGGCATCATCACAAAGGGCTCCTCCGAGCAGCTACGTGACTACTACGTGACATCCTACCGGGTCTCCTCCAGCCGCGACGGGAAGAACTGGAAACCCTACAGGGGCAGTGCCAGCCAGGAGGACAAGGTGGGCATGGAGGGGACAGCAGAGGGGCTGAGACCCCCTGCCTGTGGATATTCAGCTTTGGCACCTCTTTGCCCTCTCCAGGTCTTTGAAGGAAATGCCGACAGCCACGGGGAGGTCTCCAACGCCTTCATCCCCCCCATCGTTGCCCGCTACGTCCGTGTCACACCCCAGAGGTGGCACCAGCGCGTGGCCCTCAAGGTGGCCCTGGTGGGCTGCCCCCTGGCGCGGGTCCGCGCGCCCCGGCCCTATGGTGAGCCCTTCCCGAGGATCCCACACCCCCCCATCCCAAACATCCCTCCCGGGACCGCTGCCTCCCCAGTGCTGCTCCCACAGTCACGGTCCCCGCTCTGCCCCACAGTGCCCAGTGTCCCCAAGGAGGTCCCTGTGCCCACCAGCCGCCTGTCCACCCACACCCCCATCCCTGGCATTGCCCTGGACCCGGAGAAGGCAGGTGGGTGCCATGAGGGGCACAGCATCGTCTTGTGGTGCTCCTGGTGCCACTGGGGCTTCATCCCCCTGTGACAACACGTTGATTTTCTCTTCTGGGGGCCCCGGGTGGGCTCCTGGCACCCCTGGGTGCAGAGGGGTGGGATGGGCTGATGTGCCCTCCCTCCCCAGGCTCCACGCTGCTGGTGATGCTGCTCATTGGTGGCTTCGTGCTCCTCTGCTCTGTCCTCCTGCTCCTGGCTTTCCTCTGCCATAGGAAAAGGTGGGTCCCATCCTGCCCCCCACTTTAACCCGGCATCACCTTCCCAAAATGTGGCAGCTTCATTCAGCTGCTCACTCAGTGGGTGTGAGGAGGTGGGTGATGGTGGGCACAAGGTGCCTGGGACCCCTCACCCCACCTTGCTTCTCCCCTTGGCAGGAAAGCAGCAGCAGAGCTGAACTGTGGGATCACAAAAGGTAAAGGGTCCCCAAGCCCTCCCCAGAACCAGGAGTCCTGTGGGCCATGGGGTGCAGCTGGTTTAACTGGTGCTGCTGCTGAGCCCAGAGCCATCCCCTTCCTGGGGGGACCTGTCCAGGTGACAGCCTGGGACAAACAGGGGTTTCTGCTCCCTGCCCAGGGTACCCCAAACTGGAGTCAAGCCAGGTGTGCTCCCTGCAGAGCTTGCAGCCCCCCAGCCTGGCCCTGTTCCCCACGGCACCTGCACCAGGAGACCTCAGCCGGACCCATTCCCCAGGTAACAGGGACAGTGGGGGGCAAACAGGTCCCCCAGCCCAGAGTCAGGACCGTGTCTCCCCCACTGCACCCTGGGGACACTCTGGGGTGTCCATTCCTTTCCCCTTCCCGTCCTGGTCCAACCCCTCCTGCATCACAGTCCTATGCAAAAGGGAGACCCTTTTGGGGCTTATTATTTTATAATAGTAGTAACAATAATAATAACAACAGAATAATAAAAGAATAATAAACAGTAATAAAGAATAATAAATAATAAATAAGGATAATAACAATGGCAACAATTACAACAATAATTACAGCAATAACTATACTATTACTAAATAATAAGAACAACAATAGTGATATGGGTAATAAATAACAGCTATAATAATAAATAATAAGAATAACATTAATAATAAGGATGATAAATAACAACAATAATAATATTAATAACAACAATAATAGCAAATGGTAGTAGTAGTAATAATAATAATAATAATAATAATAAATAATTCCATCTCAATCACAGCCGTGGGTATTAGAGGGTGGCCAGGTGGCACCAGGAGCCCTTCTCTGTGCTGGGGCAGAGGGATGTGGGGTCCATGGGGCGGGCATCCTCCCCCTGGTTTTGGCACAGCTTTTCCCAGCCCCGGGGGTCCAAACGCGCCCACTTTTTCAACCCACCCCACCCCCCTGTCCCAGCCCCACGCCCCCCTGACCGCGCAGCCCCCTTTCAGAGTACGCCGAGCCAGACCTGGTGCAGGTGAGCCCCAGCAGCCAGACGGGTCCCTCCACCTTCAAGCCGCTCCTGGACGAGGGCTACACGCTGCCGCTGGTCCTGAGCCACTACGACGTGCCAGGGAAGCACCACGAGTACGCGGAGCCGCTGCCCCCGGAGCCCGAGTACGCCACACCCTTCAGCGAGCCCGAGCCCCCCGGGACGCGCCGCAGCCCCTGCGGCATCGCGGGGCCCCCCGGGTGCCCCCCGGCGCGGTACCGGACCCCCGCCCCGCGGCCCGGGGAGGAGCGGGCTGGCAGCCCCTGCCCCGAGGGGTCCCGCGGGGACTGTCCCCTCGCACACGTGTATCACGAAGCCTTGTGAGGAGGGGGAGCACGGTACCGGGAGGGGGGGAGGATGTGCGGGGGAGGGAGCTTCCCCGCGGTCCCCGGAGGGCTTTTTTAAGAATAATCCTATTTAAATATATATATTATATATATTTATATAGATAGATGTATGTATGTGCTCCTCCCACTGGTCCGGGGTGTCACGGCGATCATCCTGGGTCACCCAGCGGGTCTGGGGTATCACAGGGGTGGTCCCTCCGTTCTGAGGCATCACCATGATGGTCCCTCTGCTCCCACCGGTTCAGGGTGTCACAGGGACCGTCCTGCCTGTCCGGGGTGTCACAGGGATGGTCCTTCTGCTCCCGCCGGTCTGCGGTGTCACAGCGATCGGTGTCGCATACCCCGGGATGTCACAGGGACCATCCTGCCGGTCCGGGATCATCCCGCATACCCGGGATGTCGCAGCGACCGTCCCGCATCACCCACTGGTCCGTGGTGTCACAGGGACCGTCCCACATGTTCGTGATGCCACAACGATGGTCCGTCCCGTCAGTCCCGGTACCGCAGGCACCGCCCGATACCGAGGGGTGGCCGCGGCTCCGGAACTGGCCCACTGGGGCACTGCCGGAGCCAGCGCAGCGACCCAGCCCCCGTCCCTCTCCCCCACGCCTCTGCCGTTCCACAGTGCCGGTACCGGGGCGCCGGAACGGGCGGTTACCGGCGACCCCCCTCACAAAAATTGTGCTTCCGAAATCTCTTGATGTCGATTCCGCGGGGGCGGCGCGAGGCCCCCCCGTGCCACGCACGGCAGAAGCCCTTTTTAAGAGCTCCGCCCGCGCCCGCCCCGCACGGCAAAGCGCCGGAGCGCCGCTGAGGTCAGGGCGAGGCACGGGAACGACCGACTAAACAATGCGTGTACCTCTGCTCCGTCATCCTTTCTCCATACGTTTCTCCCTTTATTTTCGCCATTCGTGCTGCTTTTCGCCTAAAAAAAAGCGCCGTTTCCGCGCTGTTTGCGATGGCCGGCGCTATGCAAACCGCGCGGGGCATGCTGGGCGCGCCCCCCTTCCCCTGTGGCCGCTCGGAGTTGGAAAGGGGGGGGGCGCCTTTGGCGGGAGCGCCTCGGCGCGCGCACGGGCGGACGCGCTCCCGATTGGCGGAGGCGCGCGCGCGCAGGGGGCGGACGCGCCCCCGATTGGCGGAGGCGCGCCCGGAAGCGGAAGCGCTGCCCCGGTGTCGGCGGAGGGAGCGCGGCGGGGCCTCGGAGCGGCCGCGGGTCATGGGGAGGTACGGGGGGGACCCGGACGAGATTCACGGAGCCTCCGGGGGGCTCGACACGGCTGCAAGTGTGGGAGGAAGCCCCGGGGCGGGCGCGCTGCGCGGTGCCGGTGGCGTTCGGTGACCTTCGCGCTGCCCCCGCGGCGCCCGGCGCGCTCAGCACGGGGAGGGGGTTCGGTCCCATCCCCGTGGGGGTGTTGAGTGCTGAGTGCTGGGGGTGTTCAGCCTGGAGGAGGGAAGGCTCCAGGGAGAACTTAGAGCTCTTTCTAGTGCCTAAAGGGGCTCCAGGAGAGCTGGAGAGGGACTTGGGACAAGGGATGGAGGGACAGGACAAGGGGGAACGGCTTCCCACTGCCAGAGGGCAGGGTTAGATGGGATATTGGGGAGAAATTCTTCCCTGTGAAGGTGGTGAGGCCCTGGCACAGGTTGCCCAGAGAAGCTGTGGCTGCCCCATTGCTGGAAGTGTCCAAGGCCAGGTTGGATGGGGCTTGGAGCAACCTGGGCTAGTGGCAGGGGATGGAACTTGGGTAGTCTTTAACATCCCTTCCAGGCCAAACCATTCCATGATTCTGTGGTTGTATTTAGATGTGAAAATCATTGTGATTGATGGAAATGGGAGCCCCCTGAGCCCTCCAGGGAATGTGCTGTTAGGCATTAACATGGATTTTAGTTGCAGCTCTAACCCTGTGCTGCCCCAGAGCTGAACCAGTCCCAGTTGTCACTGCCCCCAAATCTCCTGCCCTGGAGGGACCTGCTGCTGTGGGGCCTGGGCTCACCTGCACGCCAGCGGGCACCAGGATACTCCCATTTCCTGGCAGAAGAAGGAGGAATTTGGCCATATATTTCTTCACGATCCCGTGGGATGCTCCTCCTCTGCAGCAGCCACTGTGTGATCTGTCAGAGGAACCTTTGCCCCTGTAGTGAGGACAACGTGTGAAACTGCTTCCTCTCAGCATCTGATAAAGGATGGGTGATACCAAAAAAATTATCTGGTGTTCCTGTAGGATTGGGAGTTGTGTGGAAGAGGAGGAGGCCAGAGTAGGTCCTGCTGGCTGGTGACACCCTGGGAAGGCTGTGGGCCATGGCCTCTGCACCCTCTGGGCCCACAGCAGTTGCTGATGTAATTAAAGATCTAGACACTCAGATAGCTGTAAGTAAAACGGGGCTGGCATGTGGGATTTGCCCTGGGAACCTGCTCATCCCGCGGGTTTTGTGTCCAGGGATCTTGGCAGCACATGGAGGGTGCGGTAAGATCCTGGAATAAACCAGCAAAACCATTTTGTGCTTCTTCCTGAGGGTTCTGGGGCTTTCTGCCCCAGGGTTTGGGTGCTCCCTGCCCTGCATGGTGGGCAGGAATTCCTGCTGGGTGGATTTGGGAAGTGAGGAGTGGGGTGAACAGCCTGAGACGAGCTCCAGCTAAAACCAAGACTGGAGGTCCCTCCTGGTCTTGTGCTGAGCTCCTCGGCCCCAAGTACAGCTGAGGGGGTTCAGGGTGTGAGTGCCGTGGTTTTCCATCGTTAATCCAGTTAAAACTGAGCTGGAGACTTGCTGAGGGCAGTGCAGGAGGCTGTCTGGGGTATAAATCCATGTCTGCAGGTGCATGAGTGTGCCTTGGAGTGAAGCACTAAAGCAGCTGCCTCTGAGTGTTCCTGTGTGCTTTCTGGTGTGGGTTTAACTAATCCAGACTAACCAGGCTTGCTCTGATGAGGGGGAAATGTCTGTTTGTGGCTCAGGGGGCAGACACTCTGTGTGAACGTCCTGTAAAGCTGGTTAAACAGACTCTTCTTTTGTAAGTTCAGCCTCAGCTGCTGTTTTCCACCCACCTCTGTCCCTTCCACAAGGGGTTTTGCCGTCAAACCATTCCCTGAACTCTCCTTCCCTGTGAGAGGCCCATCCCTGCTGCCTGTGGTGGTTGTGGCAGCGGGAGGTGCAGGGTTTGCATGAGTTTCCTGTCGTGGAGCAAAGTGAGGACAGAGCAAAACTTCACCCAGCCTGGGCTTTAGAGCCTCCCAGCCGTGGAACAGAGGAAGAGCCGGTCAGTCTGTGACCAAGAACCTGAGAAACTTCAGGCACCTGGAGGATCTGTGTAACCACAGCCCACTTCTGGTTCACCTTCAGGAGCTCCATAAATCCCAGTCCTTCTCCTGTGGCTGTTGGTTGCCCAGTGCAGGAGGAACGATGGGCAGGTGTGGGCACACACACACACACGTGTTCCTGCCCCTCTGAGCTCCCAGACTCTGCTCTCAGCACCCAAAATGGACCCGCTGTTGTCAGTCCCACGTGGAGGGGTCGCTGCAGGCCGGGCTGGCAGCCTGGTGCTGCCAAAAATGAGACTCCAGGGAGGCTGAGCCCTGCAGTGTGGGGATGAGGGATCCTGTGCTGCTGCACTTCAATCTGCTCTGTGTGGCCTGTTCCTCAAAGCTGGCTGTGGGAAGTGGGTTCAGGAAGGCCCTGAGCGGGGTGGGAGTGGGGGGGTTCAGCCCGAGGGGTGAGGGGGTGGGTGGGTCAGTGCTGCTGTCACTGGCCTGTGCTTCTGGGAAACTTCATTTTCCACACACCAGGGAAGGTTTTCTCGTCTACTTAAACATCACTTCTCCCTTCTTGCTGTGTCCAGAGACTCCTGATCTTCTATAAACCCCAGTTTTCTCAGGACAAAGACCTGTCCACCCCACTGAACTCCCTGTCTGCCTCTAACCCTGGCTCTCCTTTCCTTTCCCAGTTGATTGGTTTGGGTCCCCACAATCCCAAGAAGAAGCAGGACCTGGACAAGCTTTATGACCTAAAATCTAAAGCCCAGCAGATTATGAACCAGTTTGGCCCTTCTACCTTGATCAACCTCTCCAACTTCTCCTCCATCAAGCCAGAGCCAGCCAGCACCCCCCCCCAGAGCTCCATGGCCAACAGCACCACCGTGGCCAAGATGCCTGGAACACCCAGTGGAGGGGGCAGGCTCAGCCCTGAGAGCAACCAGGTAATTCCATCCCTGACTCCAGGACAACAGGGATGATGCTCAGTCCTGCCCCTGGCTCCTTTCTCCCTCCTTAAATCACCAGCAAATACTTTGTGTCTGGTAAAGTATCAGTTACTGAGTGAGCAGAACTTCTTCCTGGAGTTCTTCCAGCTGCTTCCAGGCCGGTGGAATGGATGCTGTGGGTTTTGCAGTCTCAGGAAAATGTATATTGGGGGGAAATTCTTTTTAAATGGGGTTTAGATGGGAGGAATTTGGGGGGAAATGGGTGGTGAGGCACAGGTTGCCCGGAGAAGCTGTGGCTGCCCCTGGATCCCTGGAAGTGTCCAAGGCCAGGTTGGACGGGGCTTGGAGCATCCTGGGCTAGTGGAAGGTGTCCCTGCCCATGGCAGGGGGTGGAATAAGGTGGGTTTAAGGTCCCTTCCAACCTTTGGAGGCTTTGATGTGCATGAAACAAGCTGCTGCCCTGGGATTGCTCCCTTATGGCTTCACTGGGGCTCTCAGGAATTGCACCAGACCCCCCCCAAACACAGGCACAGCAGCGAGGGAACCAGGAAAGGCGGGAATTTCCCACCTGTGCCTGGATCACCCGAGCAGGCTGACAACTTCCATCCAGATCTTTTAAGACTCAGCATCCTGTTGGTCAAGCCCAGTGTGGTTTTTGCTCCCTGCCACGTTTGGCTGCTGCCCTGGGATAACCCAGCACTCACCTATCTCTGTTTTCCATGAGAAGCACTAAAGCTGATAAGCACTAGAGCCATGGAAATACTTCCCTCGTGCCCTGAACACAGCTTTAGTCACTGATATGTTGCTTACACTTGCTCTCTTCCACTTAAAAGTTGTAGTTTTGCTTTTCCCCCCACCCTTGCCAGCAGCATTTTGGTGCCAGTTTGGTGCTGGAGGTATTTATCTTGGCTGCTGCATTCCCCTCTCTGCCCAGAGCAACCCCTGGTGCTCCAAAATGACTCCTTAACACCTGATATTCCTTATCCCTGCCATTCCTGAGGTGATAGACTGTGTCAACAGTGTGACTTGGGCCCTGGGAGCACGGGGGAGGGGGTGTTTGTGGCGGTGCTGCTGCTTTGCTGGAGCAGGGCAGTAAATCCTTCTTCTCCCACACCCTCAGGTTTTAACCAAGAAGAAATTGCAGGATCTGGTGCGTGAGGTGGATCCCAACGAGCAGCTGGATGAAGATGTGGAGGAGGTGGGTACCAACCCACGGCAGGGGCTGCAGAAAGAGCTAATCTGGGTATTTTCACAGACATTTCCACGATTCATTTGACACCTCTCTATTCTCCTGCAGCCTTCAGGCATCCCTGTCTTTCTGTGTCCCAGTGCCAAAATGGGTCTGTTGCAAAAAGCTGTGAAATACAGTCCTGGGGGAAATACAGTTTGGGGCACCACGATACAGAAAAGATACAAAAAACATAATAGAGGGACATAGAAGAGGGACACTGAGGTGGTGAAGGGTGAGGAAGGGCCATATGAGGAGTGGCTGAGGGCACTTGGTGTGCAGCTCAGTGGGGGCTGCAGCTCCTCCCAAGGGGCAGCTCCGAGCTCTGCTCTGGGGGAGCAGGGACAGCCCCCAGGGAACGGCTGGAGCTGTGTCAGGGCAGGCTCAGGGTGGATCTCAGGCAAAGGTTCTTCCCCCAGAGGCTGGTTGGGCACTGCCCAGGCTCCCCAGGGCAGTGGGCACAGCCCCAAGGCTGCCAGAGCTCCAGGAGGGTTTGGACAACGCTCTGAGGGACAGGGTGGGATTGTTGGGGTGTCTGTGCAGGGCCAGGGCTCGGATTCCATAATCCCTGTGGGTCTCTTCCAACTCGGAGCATTCCACGCTTCTAAATACCAGCTTCTGAGGGCTCGTTTTCATCCCTCTCACATGATTTGAGCTGACCAGGCTGGCTGTGGCCCTTGTTCCCCCCAGATGCTGCTGCAGATCGCCGATGACTTCATCGAGAGCGTGGTCACCGCCGCCTGCCAGCTCGCGCGGCACCGCAAGTCCAACACCCTGGAGGTCAAAGACGTCCAGTTGCACCTTGGTGAGTGAGTTTTACCTGTGTTTTTTCCCCTCAGCTGAGACCCAGGGGGCACTTCCAGAAGTCAGGCTGCGGTGTTGGGCTGGGTAAAGCATCGCTGCCCGTGGCAGGGGGTTGGAACTGGATGAGCTCTATGGTCCTTCCCAACCCAAAGCCTTCTGTGATTCCAGAGCGCCAGTGGAACATGTGGATCCCGGGCTTTGGTTCTGAAGAAATCAGGCCCTACAAAAAAGCCTGCACTACAGAAGCTCACAAACAGGTAAAGGAGCCCTCACAACGCTGGGAATCACGTGGCTGATACGGGGGAGGTGGTGGAATTGTGGCCTCCTCCAAGTGGTTTGGGCTTGAAATGACTCCCAGATCCTCCTGGCCTGTTAGTGCAGAGAGGGTTGAGGTTGCTGTGGCTCCTCTGCAGTGCTGACTGTGCCCTAAGAGCACAAGTCTGAGGGCCAGCCCAGCTTGGGAGGGTTAAAACCAGCTGGGAGCTGCACACAGGCACTTCTCAGCTGCCCCTGGCAGATTCGTCTCTGTCTTTGTGCAAAGGGACTGAAAACACCTTTAATTTTGCTTTAAACTGAATTAATCCATTGCTTTTGAAGTGCACAGTCAGAGCCAGGAAGGAGCTGGAGGGTTCCTGGGTGATGCTGCAGCTCCCACTGGGCACAGAGGGGGGGCCTTGAGGTGGGGTTTGATCCCACTGCCCCGGGGTGCCGAGTGGAGCAGCACAGACACTTCCTTCTCCTCTGGCTCCAGCCTGGGACCCCATTAGGATTCCAGCAGACCTGACAGACCTGTGTGGCAGCAGGTCAGGCAGCGTCCCCAGAGCATCTGGGATGCCTCTCTCCTGCACGGCTGCAGCTGGTTTGGGCAGTCATCTGCTCTGAGCTGCTCAGCTTCCCACGTTCTTCCCTTTCCTTGTTGCAGAGGATGGCACTGATCCGCAAAACCACCAAGAAATAGCCCCTGGGCAGAGCTGGGAGACGCCGCCAGTGCAGTTTGGGATATTTTGCCTCTCCACTGAAGCCTCCACGATGACACCCGTGGGATGTTTTTTTTTTTTTTTTTAGTGCTTTACAGAGAAGCATCTATTTTTTATTAATGGTGCAGCAATATCTTGACTCTACGAGGAGATCTGCCAAAAACACTCTCTGCCCCTTTCCTTGTTCCTCCTCAGAGCGCGACGTATCTCAAGGAGAGACTTTTATTTGTGACTTGAAAGTGGTTTCTCGTACAAGTGATTGATTACCCAAGGGACAGAGCGTTTGGTCGTGTGTGGGACAGTATTAGAAGCATCTGTAGAGGTTTTTGTTTCCTCCTTCCTGCTCCAGTACTTTGTAATGTCAGTGTTTATATAAATACTTGCGTTTGTTTTACATGAATAAAGAAATTATTAATCTAAGCTCCTGGCACAGGCTTGTGCTCTTCAGGCAGCACTGCAGAGGGGTGGCAGGGGTTGTGTCACTGGTGCTGTCCTGGTGGGAGTTCTCCTGGGGATTTAAAGGGAGCAGAATCATGGAATATCCTGAGCTGGAAGGGACTCACGAGGATCATCCATCCAACTCCTGGCCCTGCACAGACACCCCAACAATCCCACCCTGTCCCTCAGACTGGTGTCCAAACCCTCCTGGAGCTCTGGCAGCCTTGGGGCTGTGCCCACTGCCCTGGGGAGCCTGGGCAGTGCCCAACCAGCCTCTGGGGGAAGAACCTTTGCCTGAGATCCACCCTGAGCCTGCCCTGACACAGCTCCAGCCATTCCCTGGGGGCTGTCCCTGCTCCCCCAGAGCAGAGATCGGAGCTGCCCCTTGGGAGGAGCTGCAGTCCCCGCTGAGCTCTGCCCTCAGTCTGCTCTGCTCCAGGTTGAGCAACCCAAGTTCAGCTTCTCCTCCTGTGGCTTCCCCTCCAGCCCCTTCTAGACCAGAAGGATTTTTGCTTTGGACTCAGGCAGGTCCTGAGCCAGAGTGATAATCAGATATTACCTGAGTTACATAATAAATCTTTTATTTCTAATTATATTTGGGAAGATTTAAAGAATCTCGGGCTTTATGATTTGGGACTTGGTCAGTACAGGAGAGAGAAGAGGGGAATGGGGTGACACCCACCTCTGCTGGTGCCTTCCTGGGCATTCCACCCTTTCCAAGGGCAGCCTAAGCACTGCTGCTTGCCCAGAAAACACAGGCAGGCAGAGGGATGACCAGGGGTGTTTAATGCTCCCGTGCTGCTCCTTCCTGCTGCATCTCCATCCCCACTGAGGTGGGATCACTGTGTGATGGCCAAACCTGCACAGCCCCATGATTACAAAACAATTACCCAGCAGGCAGGGAGCACCGAGAGCTTCCTGCAGCTGAAGGAATGAGAGCTCCCCAGTCCCTGCAGCCACAACCCTGGAGCTCTCCTGTCCCTGCAGCCACAGTCCTGGGCACGTTGATCACTGGAATGTGCAGAGGACGAGCATGCCTCAGGGTCCTTGCAACGTTCATTTTATTTTATTGCTGCTTTATTTCCCTGTCCTTTCGAAACCCGCTCCATTAACCACCGAATCTCCCACACTGAGCCCTAAACTGTTAAAATTAAACCGTTTAACAACTCCTACAGTTAATTACAACGCTCGCAGAGAGCACTTTGCCACCCTGTCCTGGCAAGCTGATGTGCAGCAGGGGGCCCATCCCAGCACGTCCCAGCCCTCCTCGTGTCCCCAGCTCTAGCACGAGCACCTCTTCCTCTTCTCCTCCTTCTCCGACAGCCGAGCTTTGGGCGGCACGGGCAGGGGGACGCTGCTCTTCACCCCGTCCCAGGCCTCGCTGGCCGCCAACCTCCCCGTCTGCAGCGCCTGGTAGATGGCCGCCGTCAGCATCCGGAACGCCAGGGCCACGTTGGAGGCGTCCTTGGCCGAGGTCTCCACGTACTGGGCGCCCAGCGAGGCCGCCAACCTCTCGGCCTCCCTGCGGCCCACGCGGCGCTGCCCCGCCAGGTCGCTCTTGTGCCCCACCAGCAGGAAGACGATGCGGGAGGGCTGCACCGTGTCGGTCACGTCGCGGTGCCAGCGCCGCACGCTCTCGAAGGACGCGCGGTTGGTGAGGTCGAAGAGCAGCATCCCCCCGGCGGAGTTGCGGTAGTAGGAGCGAGTCACGGACCTTGGGGGGGGGGGGGTGGGATGGGAAAAGGGGGTGAGCGGCCCCCCAAGGTCGCCTGTGCCACCTGGGGCTGCATGTCCCCCGCCCAAAGCACAGGGAGAGGGTGGGGAATCGGCCCTTTGGCTGCGTCAGGGAGGGCTCCAAGGGCGACTCTGTCCCTGTTCAGCCACCGCAGCCACAGTCCCCGGGGCTCCCCCAGCCCTGTAGCCACGGTCCTGGAGCTCTCCTGTCCCTGCAGCCACAGTCCTGGAGCTCCCTCAGCCCTGCAGCCATGACCCAGTGCTCCCCCATTCCTGCAGACACGGTCCTGGAGCTCTCCTGTCCCTGTGGCCATGGTCCTAGAGCTACCTAGACCACCCCTGCAGCCGTGGTCCTGGAGTTTTCCCTCCCCTTCAGCCACAGTCCTGGAGCTCTCTCACCCCTGCAGCCACATCTCCTGAGTTCCCTTGTCCCCAGCAGCCACCCAGCCAGCAGTGGCAGCCCCACAGTGAGGTGTGAAGGCTCCTGGCATCTGAGCCGTAAACCACTTTGGAAAACCACTTTGCCCAGCTCCCAGTGGGCTCCCAACTTCTTCCCCAGCCCCTCTGCAGCTGTGGGACAGAGGAGTGCTTGGAGCAGGGCCCACCCCCCCTTTAGAGCTGAACCAAGTGCTCCTTTCCCTTGGCTTTGGCTGGTTCTTCACATATGGGGCTCCCCCACCAAAGGGACCAGTGGGAACACAGCCCCATCCAGGACCTCCCTGGGGTCGGGATCACATCATTCCACCCCAAATCCAGGGTGGGACACCCACCTCCCTCACCCCTCCCCACCCCACGGTCCCACCTGAACCTCTCCTGCCCGGCCGTGTCCCAGAACTGCAGCTTCACCCTCAGCCCCGGCTCCAGCTCCACGAACTGGACGTAGAAATCCACCCCCACCGTCTGGTTGACGGCGTCCAGGAAGGTGCCCTCGGTGTAGCGCCGCAGGAGGGAGGATTTCCCCACCGTGGAGTCCCCCAGCATGATCACCCGGAACTGGTACTGCCACCGCGGCTCCATCGGTGCCTCCACCGGTGCCGGGCCCCGCCGCCCCCACGCCGGGCGCGTGTCCGGGCAGGCAGGGAGCTCCTCCACCCAGGAGGCGTTCCCAGAGCCAGGGGTGCTGGTTTGGAACCCCTTCGTTCCCTTTATTTTGACTCCATCCAGCTGGATGTGGTTCCTGGTCCCATTTTCCCAGGGGTGGCCCCTTTGGAGCCCCTTCACTCCCTTTATTTTGGCTCCATCCAGCTGGAACCACTCGGGTGTTCCTGCTCCCATTTTCCCAGTGACAGGAGGCTCCCAAAAGTGACACAGACATGGGGGGGGTGTAACTCCACCAGACAACCCCCCCTCCAAATCAGAGCACCCCTCATGCCGTGGGTCGAGCGCTGTGTCCCTGCCCAGCATCCGGTTCTTGGCACAGCCTTTATTTAGTGTGGAAACCCCTCAGGTTTATTAAAACCACTCCTACAGCAGAGAATTATTTTTTCAGAGTCCCCAGATTAAGATTTGAAATAAACCCAAGCCTGGCTGAAGAGAGAAAGACATCCCCTTGGGTGGAGGGTCCCGGGTGGAGGGTCCCGTGTCCCCCCGTCCCCATCAGCACTGGCAGCGCTCCGGGGGCTCCCCCCGTGCCAGGGGCTGGCGGCGGCTCTGGCTGGGGATGAGCCTGATGCCATCACAGCCCTGGTGAGGAGCGAGGACCCCCTGTCCCAGGGCCTCCTGGATGCCCCCTGCCAACATCTGGAAGGCCAAGTCCACGTTGAGGTTGGTGCGTGCCGAGGTCTCCACGAAGGCCATGCCCAGGCTGGCGGCGAGGTGCCCGGCCTCCTCTGCTGACACGGCTCTCTCGGCCTCCAGGTCACACTTGTGCCCCACCAGGACGAAGGCGGGGGGGTCCCCACCCCCCGCGGCCTCGCGGTGCCACTCGGGGACGCGCTCGAAGGACGCGCGGTTGGTGAGGTCGAACACCAGCAGCACCCCCGCCGCGCTCCGGTAGAAGGACCTGGTGATGGACCTGGGCACACCCAGGGGGCGTTTCCAGGGGCGCTGGGGCAGCCCCCGCGTTGACATACCTGGGATGGGGCTGAGGGGCTTTTTGGGTGCCGGTCGGGACTTGAGGAGTGGAAAAGGAGACCTGCCAGGGCCTTTACATCCTACCCTTCTGTTCAGCATCCCCCTTCCCAGTCCAGACACTGGCGTGTTTTTCAGGGGCCCTGGGGTCCCTCCATCCCCCCCAACAGCCTGGAGCGCAGTGGGGAGGGGGCAGCACCCCCAGGCAAAGCATTGGACAGAAACAGGGCACCCCCGGACCAACTCTGGGGCCCCAAAAAGGCTCCCATGGACGGGGAGAGTGTGGAACCCCCGGTCCAGCGCGGCACCGGCTCTCCAGCCCTTTGTGTCCCGTTTGAGCCTCTTCCACACTCCCAAGAGCTCCTGACGCAATCAGGAGAGAAACCATCCATCCCCAGCCCACCAGCAGCCCAGGAGCAGCAGCCCAGGAGCAGCAGCCCAGGACTCTCCCCAAGCCCCGCTCCCTTGGCTGTCTCCCAAAAGCCAGCTCTGGAGTCACTACAAGCTCAGCACAAGGTTTCACTGTCCCTTAAAGCGTCGCTGTCCCAGCGAGGCATCGCTGCCTGTCCCTGCACGCCCGCCGGGGATTTACACCCAGCCCAGGGTGGGGGGGACGCTCCGCTGGGTCTGGGGTCCCGCATGGGAGCTGTGTCCCCGTCCCCAGCTCACCTGAAGCGCTCCTGGCCGGCCGTGTCCCAGAGCTGCAGCTTGGCCCTGCCCGCGGGCGGCACCGGGACGGTCCGGCTGTAGAACTCGACGCCCACGGTGGGGCCGGGGGTGGCCGCACCCCCGGGACCCCCCCCCGGCCCCTCGGCGAAGCAGCGCAGCAGCGAGGACTTGCCCACGGCCGCGTCCCCCAGCACGATAACGCGGAACTGGAAGTGTCCCCCGGGGTCGGGGTCCTGCGGAGAATCTGTCACTGTCCCCATGACCGGCTGGATCCTGACTGCTGTGCTGGCGGTGACACGGGCCGGTCTCCACCCTTGTCCCCACCCCACCTGGGGACAGGGACGGCTCTGGCCCCGCAGTCACCCGGGCAGACAAACAAACCGTCCCCGGGAGGAGGGAGAAGCTTCTCCGTCCTCATCCTCCTGCCCCCGGGGTGTTGTTTGCCGTTGTCACGTGCCAGGTCTGTCCTGCTGCCCGGCTTTGGTGACAAAGGGACAGCGAGGCTGTGAGTGCACAGACACACTGTTTGTCCCCCCCCCCCCCCGAGATCCTGGGAGAGCTGGGAGGGACAGGTTCCACAGGGAAGGGGCTCCAGAGTCCCCGCCGGGAAAAGGGATCAGAGGCACTGGACAAAGGTGCTCTTGCCAAACAGCCAGGTCACCCCAGGGGATTTTGCCATGGCCCAGCCATCCTGGGACAGGGAATGATAACTCTCAGGCTGTTGTGACCCCTACATCCCTGCTTGTTGTCCATCATGAAAAACCAGGCCACTGGCATCACCAAAGCTCCATTCGAGGGTGTTGGGAAGTGTAGGATTGCAGGAGTTGCTCCAGCACCTCTGTGATGGTCCAGGTGTGTTCCTGCACTCCAGGGATACCCACCCAGGGTCGTGGGGACAACCCCAGGGGTGGGTGCTGCAGTAGGGACAGGATCCCACACTGGAGCACCACTGAGCTCCACTGGAAGGGGATGCTCAGATCCCCTGGCACTGATCACCCCCAGCCAGGCTCAGAGCCAGCCCAGTCTCACCCCATCCCAACACACCCCAAACATGGGAGACACCACAAGGATTTCAAGCAGTTGTGTTTATTGAGCCTCCAAGATTTAATATCCACTAATATTAAATAACTCCACTCCTGAGGAAACTCCACAGAAGGGACTGCTCTTCCACGCAGGGTCACAACAGGATCTTGAGCAGCACCCGGAGCCAAAGCAGTTCCCTGTCCCTGCAATGCAGGTGAGTGGAGCCCAGGAGTGGATCCTGCCCGGAGGAGCTCATGGCTCGGGAAGGAGCCGGGATCTGGCTCTGCAGAGCTCCCACTGCTGGAGGACTGGTAAAGTACCACATAGCAACGAACCCCTCAGGAATGGGCTCTGCTTAGACCTGAAAAAAAGAATAATCCAGCTGAGTGAGGAGCAGTCAGGCTTGGTGCTGTGCCAGATCCCACCTGCACTCAGGAGCTCCTGGCTGTCCCCTCCCCACCCCAGAGTGGTTTTGGGGTAGCTCATGCCTGGCCTCAGCCCCATATCCGCAGGACTCATCCAACAGTCTCCAGACACAGGAGTCATCACAGACCAGGCTGTGCTGCCACTGATCCCACCCAGGCACTGCTCCCGGGGAAACACTCAAATGGTTGGGGTTGGAAGGGACCTTAAAGCTCATCTTGTTCCCATCCCCTGCCATGGGCAGGGACACCTTCCACTACCCCAGGTTGCTCCAAGCCCTGTCCAACCTGGTCCTGGACACTTCCAGGGATCCAGGGGCAGCCACAGCTTCTCTGGGCAACCTGGGCCAGGGCCTCCCCACCCTCACAGGGAAGGATTTCCTCCTGATGTCTGATCCAAACCTCCTGCCCAGCCAACACCAGGACACTCACTTGCTCCACGCTGCAGCTTCCCCACGACTCAGGCCTACAGGAAGCAAACCAGACCCCCTGGGAGAGGGTTCACAAGCTCTCATTCTCTCTCAGTGAGTAATTCCTGAAAACACAGAGCCAGAGTGAAGCTGAAGGATCCCTGTAAATCCATGGCTCAGATCCCCCCAGATAAACCCCAGCCCTCCACCCACCACAACACCCCTGCCCTCTGTGCCCAATATTTATCCCTTCTCCCCAGCAGGAGTTTCCCTGCCTCCCATCCAGCCTTCCCCTAGGAGCGAGGCTGGCACAGCCTGTCTTCCCACTGGCCCCTCTCAGGACAGGACACACCCGCAGAGAGCCCTAGACCAGGGTGAATTTTCACTCTTCCTCCTTTTTCGACCACAAGATCGGTATTCAGATCTAATGGGAAAGGGAACTGGAGGGATGAGCTGTGGAGCTCCAACACGGACACCACGTTCCTACCTGGGGTCTATCCATCAGGCAGGAGAGCTCTGAAACACCCAGGAATCCTGGAAGACATCACAAAACCCTTAAAAAAAATCAGCAGCAGGCTGCAGATTCCTGTGGACGCATCCCTGACTCATCCCACCCTGAAACCACAAGGAACAGCCCAATTCCCCAAAATATATAGGAGGGGCGAGTGACAGCCACGGGCAGAGGAGGCCCAGCAGTCAAAGACCTTCCCGTTGCTCTGGCATGTTGTTGGAGACCTGCAGCCACTGTGTGGAGCCACAGCTCTTGGATAAACATGCGGATAAACACGGAGCTCAGCCAGGAAAGCCTGTGACAGTGATCCACCGGCTTTGGATCAGGGTTGCTTCCCAGTTTTCTGCCTCTAGCTTGGCCCAGAGAGAGGAGTGCTCTTATTCCACACACACATGATCTTGATGGAACAAGAACTCAGGGCAGTTTGCAGGGCCCAGCAGAGGATCCACATCCCCGGAAGGACATGCTGGCAACGTCCTAGGGCAGAGGGGCAGGAAATGCTGCTGGTCCCTCCTCTGGCCCAGGGAGGCCACGAAACCACCCAAATTCCCAACCTAAAGGAGAATCCAGGGCCTGGATCTCCCACCTCACCTGCAGAATGCTGCCACAGCGAGGCTGCCACCAGCCATCCCACACTCCGGGATCACCAGGATGCTGCTGGGGAAGAACAGAGTCTTGAGTTTCAGGTACATAAAGTATCTTAAACCAACAAGAAGGTGGGATACCCGCCCGCTCCCACCTCCCTGTGTAGCAATTCGGACCCCAGGAGCAGGGATCTGGGGTAGCCGCTTCCTTCCAACGCCAATCCTTCCACTCCCCCCCCGCTCCGGCCCCTCCCGGGCCGTGTATTTTCCCGAGATGTTGCCGGACAGTTACGGAGGCTCCAACTGAGCGGCGACCGTCGGGGAAAATCCCTTCGCTCTCGGCTCCTTTTTGACCGAGTCTGCCACAGCACCGACAGACACAGCTTCGATAGGGCCGGCAGGGCCCGTGGGGCCCCGGGACGGGGGCTGGTTCAGCCTCGGGGGTCCCTCCCTCACTCACTCACCCGGGGCCGGGCCCGGCCCGGGACGGATCAAGGTCAGGCTGCCCTTCCAGGCCATCGGAGCGCCCCGAAGCTCCGCCGCGGGGCGAGGTGCCCACGGGTAGCCGGGGTGGAGGGGGAGCCCCGGGGAGGGCGGATGGCGGCGGATGGCGGCGGATGTCGAGGGATGCTCCCGCCGGGCCCAGCGCTGGCCGCCCGCCCCGCCGCCATCACCGAGAGAGGAAGGAAGCACCCCGCGCCCGCCCTTTATAGCGCGGCAACGCGCGCTGATTGGTTGCTGGGGCAGCAGAGGCTGCTGGGAGTTGTAGTTCCAGGTGCCTACGGTCCCCGCCGTCCGTCCTTCCCCCTCCATCCCCCTCCATCCCCATCCATATCCATATCCATATCCATCCATCCATCCCCATCCATATCCATATCCATCCATCCATCCCCATCCATATCCATATCCATCCATCCATCCACCCATCCATATCCATATCCATCCATCCATCCACCCATCCATCCCTCAATCCATCCATCTGCCAATCCATCCCATCCATCTACCCATTTATTATCCATCCCTCAATCCATCTGTTCATCCATCCATCCACTTATCTCTCCCACTCCATCCATCCCTCACTCCCTCCCTCCCCACCCCTCGCCATCCCACTCCATCCCATCCCACTTCCCAAAGGACAAACCCACCCCACTGAGCAACCTGCTCCAGTGGAAGGTGTCCCTGCCCACGGCAGGAATCGGAATTGGATGATCCTTAAGGTCCATCCCAACCCCAACCACTCCACAATTCCATGATTCCCCACCTGTGAGCTGTGCTCCCCCTCCCCACCTCAAAGACCCTCCAATCCAGGTGGCACCAAGACAGTTCTCTCCTCTTCCATCCAAGAGGCACGTCAGGGGCTGCTCTTGGAAAAGCTGAAGGCAGCAGCTGCCTTTTCCCTACTCCTTCCTCCCTTTTGGAACATGGGGGGGAACATCCCACCCTCAGGGAATAGAAGGAAAGTTTCTTGGAAACAAAAGTCTGTTTGCCAACAAAATACCTCTGTCAGGCTCCTGGCTCGTGATCCATAATCCATGGAAAGGATTTAAAGTGGGAGCACCTGCCAAAGGGTTGGAAGGCAGTGCTGGAACAGCTGCAGGTGCTGAAGGCACAGCCACTGTGGGAAATCAGTTGGAAAAGCCCAGGAATGCTCCCTGCCTGAGCCCTGGAGAAAGGGCAAAAAGGATGGGGGAGAACAGTCAGTTTTTGATCTGTTCTGAGCAAAATTAACAGATGAAAGAATTCCCAGTGCTCAGGAATAGCCCTTTCCAACTGGTAGCTCCCCCCAAACACGCCAGACCAGCAACAAAATAAACCTGGCACTCATTTAAAGCCAAGTCTGGAAATGAGCCCCCAACTTTGTGGCCAAACCCTTGCAAAGACAGCCCCTGTCAAAGCTGGCAGGGACAGGGGACCAGCAGCTGCTCCCATTCTCCTCCTCCTCCTCCTCTATGGATCTCCCAGCTGCTCTGCCAAATCACGAGGCATTCCCTGGAGTCTCCTTGGCACAGCCACTTGTGCAAAAGGAACCTAAAAATCTCCCTCTCAAATCCTAGGGCAGGGCAGAAACTGGGAGGTCACTGTAGGAAAAAAACAACCCCAGTCTTCCCCAAAAATTCAAACCTTGGTAAACACTGTTTGGGAAGAGGCTGAACCGGGAGAATCCCCCCCAAAGAGCAACAGTGGAAAGCACTGGATGCCCAGCAGACCTCAGCCCACCACAGGAAGATGGATGGAGAGCCAAAGAGGAGCAGGGAAAATCCCACTGCACATCCACAGTCAGTGAGTCCCTGATGAAACCTCCCAGGAACCTCTCACCAGCCTCTTCCACAGAGCAGGACAGGGAGAAAATGCTGGAAGAGCCTGCAATTCCCATCACCTGACAGGTGGGAGCAGGCAACGCACAGGGATGTGCTCTGTGAAAACCATCAGTGAGGAAAAGCAGGGGAGAATTAAGTGATTCAGGGGTTTGTTGTGCCTGTGGCTCGCTGGGACAAGCCAGGCCCTGGCCATGATCAGCTCTCAATCTTTTTCACCTTAACTGTGTTATCCATCACTGCTTTTCCCCTGGAAATTTAACAGCAGAAGCAGCATGACATTGGAATCGTAGAATCATGGAATATTCTGAGTTGGGAGAGACCCACAAGGATCATCGAGTCCAACTCCTGGTCATGGACAGGACACCCCAACAATCCCACCCTGTCCCTGAGAAAACAGGGTGTGTGCCAAGCAGAACCCCAAAACCCTTCCTACAAAACTGACTGCACTTGGAAAAACCATTTTGACTGGGGAATAATTGCAAGGGAAGAAAAAAAAGGAGACGTTTTCCACCGGGCAAAAAGGGAAAGTGAACCCTATCAGTGACATTTCCTGAACCAGCTCTAGCAGTTTCTGCTATTGCATTTCAAATTCATACCCTATCCTGCCACTGAATTCATTTCATGTCTAAGCAAATCCCAAGTTAAATCCAGAAACTGGTGTATCCAGTACGATTTACAAGATGCACTGGGAGATAGCAAGGCTGGAAGGTAAAAATTCCTCTCAGATCTTTGTTTAGCAGAAGCTGGGGATTAACAAGGCAGTAATGAGAAACCCAGCACGGAAAGATCAGAGTCAAATGTTTATCTCTGTTCCTCAAAAGGGATTCAGAGAAATTCCTGAGGGTGTTGGGTACGTCTCAGTGTGCGGGATATGAACCCGTGTCCTGACACTGATCCAAGTAACAGGAATTTTGTCTAGTCAGACTCACATGGAAAAAAATCATCACAGTCAGCCCCCTGACCCAGCCCCAGATCAGCTCAAGAAATGCTTCCAGACTCCTCATCCCTTTGGAAGCGGGTCAGGATCTCTCCCAGGCCACCCCTGGTGTGTATTGTCAAGCTTTTAATTAAACACAAGCTAATGGCAACAGGCCACCCCACAACCTCAGAGCTCACCCTTTGGAGAGTCCAAACACACCCACGTCCCTCCAGCTCTGCTGAACTTTTCCCAGTTTGTGTAACTCAAATGGGAATCTGAGTCCCTGCACTTTCATCTAAATTGGATTATCTCATCTTCAACAAGAGCGTTTGGGTTGTTGTTTTAATTGCTATAAACCCTGCCTGCTGAAAGGCAGAGTGCTCCGTAATCTCAGGGGCAGATTTGGATGCAATTTTCAGGAATTACATAATCCCAGGGAGCTGTGATATCATCTGCCTGGGATTTCTTGCCTTGAGCACACGAAGATAAAAGCAGGATTTACCTTACTACACGGAGTCCTTGTCTTTCATCCCATGTGACACTAAATGGTAATTAATCCGGGCTTTTCCTGTAGCCACCCAGGAGAAACAAAATCCCACACTCTGTTTGACTTGGATTCCAAAGCACAAACCCTACAAATTCCAGGTGATGGGCTGTTTTGGAGCTCCACATAAAAGCCTCTTCTGTGCTTCAGACGCTGCAATAACGGCCAGGAGCTGAAAATGAACATTAAGGCGAGTTAAGTGATACACAGTAAAAAAAACCCCCCCAGATTTAACAGCTCCACAGAACCCTTGGCTGAGATTCTCCCAAACAACCTCAAAAGGCTGGCTCACACCTCCAGGGAATGTGGCCCAGAGCCTCACATCAACCTCTCTTAAAAGGAAACGCAGGAGCTATTTTGGGCTCTGCAGCAGCAGTAAACAGCGTCAGCAGGTCATCCCTGCTGGCCTCTGTGCTCCCAAATTGCTCCTCCTGAGGGTCTGTACGTGCCCAGCTCTCCCAGGATTAGGGGTCAGGATGAGTTGGGCTAATATTTACCATTTTTCTTCCACTATGAAAACAAAAGCAGAGAGTAAAAGGATTTTTTTACTTTCCCCCAGGGTTGCTGTCGGTGGGAGGTGATAACCTGCTCCTCTCTCCTCTAGGGACAGGCCTGGATGGAGAGGGTTTATCCAGGCATTGGGAAATACTCCACAGGATAGCAATGCTGGGCAGCTGAGAGTAAACTTATACTGATAAATAAATTGTGTCTTCAGGTCACTCCTGCAGCAAACTGAGATGGCTGCATTAAAAAGCTAAAATTTTGGGGGGATGGGGAAAGACAGCTCCCAAAGAGGAGAAGGAAGGGCACACAGGGCAGCACAGGAACAGAATGATCTAGAAAGTGTTTAACAGCAGGAAGTGATTAACAGCAGGACATAAACCCCCCTTCTTTACATCACCTCTGGAATGCCACTCCACTGAACTTCCCAGGAGGAGGGGCTGCTCTGAGCTGAGCAGAAGATATAAAAGCTCTGCTCTCTTCCACTTCTGCCGCCTCTGAAACTCCCAGAACACACAGGGCACATTCCTTTCCTCAAATTCAGAGGATCTGAAGGTGAGGACATTGGCAGCAGCACAGTCAGGGGCACAGCAGGAGGGATAATTCACAGCAGATGAGAAGGCAGGAGTCCAGCAGTCCTCCAGCTCCACTCGGTCAGGGATAACTGAACTGCAGTCCCTCGCATCCCCAGGTGCAGTTGTTAAGGAAAAAACCACAGACTGACAAATAGATCATAATTATGGACACAAACAAAGGTGTAGTAGAAGTAGCTTTATCAAAGTATTTAAATCTTGTGGCAAATCTCTGCATCAACATGGGCAGGGAGGCAACGAAACGCTCGGCAGCAGCAATTTCAGTTACCAAACTATTCCTTGGATAGACATTTATTACAGGTAGTTTCTCTGTTCCTATTTCTCCAAGAGTTTAAGGCACAAAAGCCTGAAAAGGGCTTGTAATACGTACATAAGTGCTATTATTTTCACTTTCACCTCTAATGCAACATAATATCAGCTTATTTATATTGCTTGTCCACCCAGCTCATACAACATCCAGTAGAAAACTGCTTTCCAGGTTCACAACAATTTGTTGCACAATATATCAGTGAGATTGCTCTGACCCGTTTTTGCTGCAAGATCTTCTGTTTCCCTCTGACAGGACAGTGGAAGACGCTACAAAATCTCAACATTAACGAGACCAATAAAAAAATAAAGGCATGATACACAAAATAACATTTAAATATGGTTGCTGGTTAAAGTGTTTTTAAACTGCTCGGTTGATGGGGAATTATTTCCTCATACACAGGTGGAGAAGCAAGTCAGGTGTGCAAGAGATCAACAGGTAAAAGGCATTGGTCTGTAGTTTTCTAACACTCCTGTCTTTTCTCTCCAAAGTGCTCTTCAGGTAGGTTGTTTAAGAACACCAAACTTTCTAGCTCATGATCACAGCTTAGCTTAACCAGAACACAAGTTTTCATCCCGTGCTCAAGTTACAGCAACCTTACCCAGTCACTAGAAACCTTTGGAGACCTTTCAGTGGCATCCAACAATGATCTTTCTTTTTAAAAGTAACACATTCACAAGTGTTGGGCCAAATGGCTGGAGACAAGTTGAATGGGCAGCAAAACAGAAAGATGGGCAGGAACCAAAATGCAAGGGGTAATTTGTACTTAAAAGACCAACTTTTTTATTGTAGGATGGGGCAGAGTCTCTCCCCTGTGCCACCTCGTCGAAAGTTTATAAATTACAATTCCCAACAAGTATCAAGAGTTCATTTCAAGACAAAAAGGAATAAAACTGTTGCAGTTCTAATTTTCACCATGAATCAAGGTTACCATGATGCTCCTACGACACTTGTTCTGTACAGGAAAAGGGCCACAGTCCTCCTGTACTCCGAGTCCCAGGCCTGGGTGGGGAAAGGGCCACCTCTGATCCCGCGGGATCCGGCGGAACAGTCCGGAGTGCACTGGTGGGATATTCCACAGACACAGTGCCTCAGCAACGAGGCTATAACACAGCTGGGATCTCTGAGGAGACAGTGTCCAAAGGCTGCCAGTGGCAGTCCATCAAGGCATCGTACAGCTCTTCGCTCTGCTCCATGAACTGCTTGTTCGCTTCGTGGACGTCTAACTGAGGCGTGGGATCTGCAGGGGGGGGGAAAGGCAAACTTCTCAGATTTACTCAGACATAAAGGGATGGCACACACCGAAATCAGGGCCAAACTGGGAAAGTCTGTCTCTGGTCAGTGCAGAACAGACAGACAACTTCAGTATAGAATTTGAGAAACGTACCTTCCAGTGCATCCTCCCCAACTTCTTCGTATGTCTGCAAGGAGAAACAAACCCCTTAGGACAGCAGATAATTATCTTTTCTTTTACCAGCATCACCTGTTGATTGGTACTGTCAGAAGCTGACTTTTATATCAGAGTGATTACAACAGAATTCTTCACACATAAGCCTGTGTTCCACTCCCAGCACTCCACGGGGGAGATCCCACACTAAACCTCTGACAGAGGCAGCAGTTCTTGCAGTTCCTGGGCTGAAGTGGGGTGGCTGTTCTGATGTGTTCTGTCCTTGAAAACAAGCCTTAGGAAGGATCCTAGAAGGCTGCCTGAGTGCTGCCTGGACCAAGAGAACCTTTCTACCCTGAAAACTGTATTAAGAGACCCCTTGTGTCCTTACCCAGAGTAAGGGGCAACATTTTACCTCACATAAGGCAACAGGACACACCAGGTACTACTGAACACCATAGAGCAGCTCTATTAAGAACTCATTATTAAGAGGTCTGTTATTAAGATCACTTGTTCTATTCAGCCTGGAGGAGACTGAGGGCAGAGCTCAGCAGGGGCTGCAGCTCCTCCCGAGGGGCAGCTCTGATCTCTGCTCTGGGGGAGCAGGGACAGCACCCAGGGAACGGCTGGAGCTGTGTCAGGGCAGGCTCAGGGTGGATCTCAGGCAAAGGTTCTTCCCCCAGAGGCTGGTTGGGCACTGCCCAGGCTCCCCAGGGCAGTGGGCACAGCCCCAAGGCTGCCAGAGCTCCAGGAGTGTTTGGACAATGCTCTGAGGGACAGGTGGGATTGTTGGGGTGTCTGTGCAGGGCCAGGAGTCGGATTCCATAATCCCTGTGGGTCCCTTCAAGCTCAGGACATCCTGTGATCCTCAGAGCTTGAAGCTAAAACGTTCCCATCCCCACTGGCAAGCTCTGGGGTGATTCTGGGCTGCCCTACCTGCATGGTGCTCTGTGTGTAGCCATACTGGGGGTAACTGTAGCTGTAACTGCCCGTGTTCTGGTCGTACCCCCACTGGGCGTAGTAGTTGTGATACTGTTGATAATACTGGTTGTAGTTGTAGTTGTACATCTGATTGTACTCCATTGGTTTCACGCGGTTACTTCAAAAAATAAAGCAGGAGTGAGTTGCAAATAGTGCAGAACAAGTATGAAAAAAGCAGTGAAATAGCTTAAGATACAGTCTGGTACATAGACAAGGCTTAGTCTAACATGCAGTTTTCAGTCTTTAAAATATAGTCACTATTTACTACAGCAGTATTTATCATTTGCATACATTTGCATAAAGAAAGAAGTGGTTTAAATTTAACGCCCTTTCCTGTATTCCTCTTCCTCTTCATTAATAAACATTGCTTTCATTCTTTAGGAGTTAATTTAGGGTCACTTCCTGGCTTTGGGAAGGGAAGAGTTCAGGACCATGAGCTTCAGTTTTAGAACAATCCCGAACCACAATCCAGATTCTTGGGCCCCTTTTTAATTCTGATAAATAGGATGAAGTTAAGTAATCTGCAGCTTCCTGAGACAAGGTACTGAATCTTGCTTTACATGAGGAGTTAAAGACTTAAAGCCTTGCAAAAAAATTGGAGCTTTCTTTAATAAGAACGGACAAAACCCTCTTCCTTCTGCCACTGTCACACAGAAACCTAAGCAATGACTTGTCCCCTTTCTCACTGGACTGAGAGGTCCTCTATGCACAGAGTTGGAAGAGTTCATGAAATAAAAAGAACTACAGGTAATCAAAAATAAACTTAAGTACCCTGTGAGCTGACTAAAATTCCCATTCCTCTCCATAAAGTGGCAGCATTCCCAAGGAACTTGGAATCCCACCTGACTATCAAGATTTGAAATGAGATGGCAGACATCGTTTGAAAATGAAGGTATGTCACACATAGGAAGCTAGTGATGAAATTAGTGAGAAGCAGGAAGAAGGAAACATCAATCTTCTCACCACAATACACCTCTTTTTTCTGCTTTTCTCTTCCTTTCCCCCCCAAGACTTCTGAAAATCTAAATATTATTCAAATAGGGAGCAATTACTATGATTCGTATTACCCTAGTGCTACGAGCCCCAAGTCAGACCAGGATCTCATTGTATCAGGTTCTGAACAAACACAGAAAAAAAAGTTAATCCCTGCCCCAAAATACTTATATTTAGTAGACATCATAATAGAATTAGCAAGGTAATTGAGCTTTGCTATCCAGACATCAATAAGCAGATTTAGGCTATTTCAATTAAAAGCAAAGGAACATACACTTTAAAAACAATCATATTTAACTACAGTGTGGGTACATGTGTGTGGATTTTATAATGTATACAATTAAAAACAGTGGAACACGCTTAGTCTTGAGCTAATGTTATAATTTCTCTGAATTCCTGGGCATTCTGATGCTCCCCATTATCAGGGGTATTCCTTCACTTTGTGATGGAAACATCCAGGAAATGTACCCAAACCACTAAACCACATTTAAAACCAGATGTGATGACTCCTAATGAACACCTGGCTGCTCTCATACTCACGCTTTTGGTATAGCCACACTCAATCGGACGGGTTTGGAGCCCAACCCCACAGCTCCCTGACACTCTGTCAGCGCTCTCTTCTGCTCCAGCTCGTCTGTGAACTTCACAAACCCATAACCTCTGCAGAGACACAGAAGAAACCACATTAAAACCAACCCCAAAAAGCCGGGCCACGTCTTAAAAATTATTTAGGGTGAGATTTCAAATTGGTTTGGGGAACGCGGCGAGCGAAACGCGTTCGTTCGGGTGGTTGTCCCTGTTTTTGGGAGAGATCAAACGATTCCGCCTTCCAGTTGCTTTTCCAAAGGGCCTGAAGCCACAGGTCCAAGCTCCAGCGGTGCTTTTAAGGGCCTGACAAACAGAAAGCAGCTCCTGTGCCAGTGGATTGTGCAGAACTGGAAGGGAGCTGACACAAGCCATGTCGAAATGCACGAGCAGACAGTGGTAAAGCCCCAAATCTCTGCTGGGAGGATTCTGATAATCTCAAAGAGTTGCAAGTCAGCACAGCACTGACAAGACACAGGCACTGCTCGCATCCCAAACTGCCCCACTGTGAAGGAAAACACTGCTTTTCCCTAAGATGCACCTTCCAGTCAAGTTCTTTCTCAACAGGAATATATTCAAATAGGCTTTCTGTCATTCCCAAAGCGGGGCTTAAAACGAGCTTGTAACATCAAGTAGCTAAAACCTGCTCTGAGAGCACAGCTGGGACAGGGACAGCACAGCCAGGACCCCTGGACTCCGTGAAAACACTGTGGTGTGGCAGCTCTGCACTGCAGCCAGAGGAGAAACACCAACTCTCTCCAAGCCCAACGGTCCTTTGCGTGGGATTCTGGTGCTGCAGTGAGTCAGAAGCGATGCAACAGCACCCAGGAGGGCAGTGCCAGGATCCCAGCATGGGATGGGCTGCCTCATGCAGCAGAAAGATCAAAGACTTAGGTGTGGGAGGGTAAGGGAATCCATCTAAGTGAAGGAAGGAGTTTAGGAGGGAAGGACTCGTCTAGCTGGGGAAAAGAACGAGCCGTAAGCAAGGGTGTAAGTTTACAATGTATTATCTATTCTGTGGGAACTCCTAAACACCAAGTAATGTTTTATTTGGAAAGCAGCATCACCTACTCCCCCTGGGAGGTCCCCACTGGAAGCTGTCCCAGAGCAGTCTGTGCCCCAGAAAACTCATTATCTTGGCCAGCACGAGTCCAAATATCTATTTTTATACAAATACACAGGTATGGCTGTGTCTTCCTCACAAAAATACCAGATCAAAGCTCAGGCTTATCTACGTACAAACTGGATAATTAAACACGAGCAAAACTCTACATGGGCCCCCATTCTGTTTAACTTGCCCTCTGCCAAAGGACTGTGGCAAATTAAGCCAGTGCAAGTCAACCTCCAGTGTTGTGAAACTGTGTGAGCAGTTTAAGGTGCTCACACACAAAACCAAGTTTCTAAGCTGCCACAAAGACTCCTGCAGCCTTTTGGGTGGGACTAGGAGCGTGTAAGGGAAACTGGGAAGACTGGCAGTTCCAAAATAGAGACAGACAGCTAAAGAGCTGGATGTAGGGTACAGGAATTGATGGTGGGTGCAGCAAGGGAGACAGTGATTCTTCCAACTCTTCCAGAAACTTAGCTTTTCCACACCAACAGCTAAACCAGAAGAAAACCCAGCAAGAAATCATTTCTTTGTGGCCAGGACTTCCCTGGCAGACACACTGCCTTGTCCCTGCAGTTTGGAAAATCCCCCACACCTGCACCCTCAGCAGGAAGCAGAGAAGCAGGCTCAGCACCACAGCTCCAGGCTGCTCTCCTGCTGGGAGGAGGCCTTCCTGATCCACCAGCCCTGGCTGGAAGGGCCAGGCCTTCACTGGGCACGTCCACAAGCCCAAAGCTCCTCTCTCACATCACCCTGACACCTGCAGTTGCCTCAGCTTTGAGTAACTGCACAAGTCCCAACAAAGCCCCTGGCAGCATGCTGGCACTGCCGGGGGAGACAGCTCTGCTCGTCCCCGGAAGAGGACTCCAAGTCCCTGCTCCTTCCTCACTTCCCAAGCTACCACAGATTCCCTTTCCTTGAGGAACTGCACTTCTGAGCAGTTCCCAAAGCCCCACTCATGGCCCAAACTGCAGCACCCATCACCTGTTCTGTAGGCAGAGCCCGGGGCAGGTGCAGCAAAACAGGGTCTGCGGGGTTTACACCTCTGAGGAAGAGGAGGAGGAGGAGGAGGAGGAGGAGGAGGAGGAGGAGGAGGAGGAAGAGGAGGCACCTGGAGCCCACCCCAGCAGTGTCAGTCCCATGTGAGGTAGCAGTGACAGCACAAGTATTCAACAGTGACAGAGCAGCTCTGCAAGAGGTTCAGGTTGCACATGAAGAGAGAGTGCAGCTCTGGAACAGGCTGCCCAGACAGGCTGAATTGTCTCTATTCTGGGAGGTTTTCCACGATACTCAACTCATGGCTGACCTGACCTAGTACTGGTCCTGCTTGGAGCTGGACCACAGAACTCCAGAGATTCCTTCAAACCAACATATCTAAGCCTCATGTGAGAAAGTGGGGAGATCTACAGCCACAGACTTGGTCTCATCCCAACACTGCAACAGGTATTATATCAGAATATTGTGCTTCACCAAGCCACGCTCTGCTTTGAAAACAAGGGTTCTCACCAACTGCTCCCTCCCCTAGGAAAACACAGCCCAATTTTGTGCTATTTAGAAAATGCTTTAATGACATGAAGAAATCCAGCTTTTTGATATCTGTTTTTGGCAAGACATTTCCAGCAAAGACAAACGAGGCGGCTACTGAGAACCTGACAGTGAATCACAGCTTTGTGTGCCCTACCCTGTTTGAAATAAAACCCTCTCCCAGGAATGGCCTAAATAATAGCACAATTCCACCTGAGAGTCCAGGAGGAGAGTGCTTCCAGCTTACTTAAGACATTTGTCAGCATTTTAAGAAGTGCAGTAACACACAAAGGGCCTCACGCTGACAGAGGAGTGACAACACCCCCGTGGTGACTATCAAACCCCAAGAAAACTGCAGACTTTGTATTTTAAGCTGATAAAACTATTCTTTTTTTTCCCCTTGCTGCATTTTATCTTTTCTGTTGCTGCATCTGCAGTGAAAGAAAAGAATGAATAAAAGAGGACTTACTTGGATACTCCTGCCTGGTCCAAAACAACTTTTCCACCTCTACACGATGGATAAACTTTAACAAAAAATTCATATAACATCCCATCATCCACATCAGGAGTCAGGTCTCCCACAAAAAGGGAATATTCTGGACTAAAGAGATCAAAAGAAAACTTCTTAAGTACAATCTTACAAAAAAAGAAAGAGATGTGCTCAGTGACAGTTGCCATCTAGCCTAAATATTTGACCTCGGAGAAAAGTGATATTAAAAGACCATTTAATGGAGATTTTAAAGTGTCACCAGTTAAGCTACTTAACTAAAATTATACTTATATATAATATATTATATTAATATACTTTTTAAGCCATTGACACTGCTTTTTCAAGTTAATTCAAGCAGCACAACCAATCTGCTCAATATTGCTTTTTATTTAAAGATAATTGCTTACTTCTTACAGGGCATCTCTGGATTTCTGACATGACAAGAAAATATTAATGTCTCACTTACAGATTTGCTATTTCCAATACACAGATCTTAAATTATAATATACTAATTAGATACTTGGATGCTACAAAGTTTGAATACCTTTAAAAGACACTGGATAAATCACACACAAGGCAAAGCGCAAAACTGGCACAGCCTCCACAGTGGCACTGATGAACTCATGGGTTTACATAGTTTGAATACTCTTTGCAAGGGACATAAAACAAGCAAAATGAGTATTTAAATATTGAGCACCTACCTGTTGTCGGGCTGTTTTCCATACGTTGCATAATTCAATTTAAATCGCTTCGCCTGAAACGAGGCAAAAACGAACCCGTCCATTCAAATGTTGTCATGTGAGTCCAAATAATTAGGGACAAATGCAATCAGTTGATTTTATACAACTTTCTAAATGCTGTCAGACCATCCAGTTAAGGGATTAAGGATGATTTATTTATGCCAGCACAGATATAATAATGAAAATCAGAACCTAAAGAGAGGCACTAATAAACAAATATTAAATGACTTCTAACTTTAAGGTCTTAAAATGAAATGACAGCAGAGCTATTGGAAATTTCAGACACTGAATCTACCACGCTGGAAAATCAATCCCAATCTGGAAACATGGCTAAATACTTTGCTCTGGGTGATGTGCTCATTTAGTAAGATCCAAAATTAAGGGTTTTATGAAAGAACTACGGGTCACTGGACACTGGAGGCCTCCTGAAATTTTGCATTGGATGTGATTTTTAAAGCAAGTTTCTCAGTAGCCCAGATTTGTGCCCACTGACACATCTGCAACTCCCTGTCCCCATCCTACCAGGGTTCAGCAACTTGTGCCCAACTCACATGTAAGTCCAGAGCAAGATCTGAGGAGCAGCTGATCTTTTGACCAGCCCTCGGGATCAGGGGCTGATCTCGGGATCAGAAATCAGGATTTCAGACCAGGATCAGAAATTCCCTAGAGATTAGGACTTTGTTCAGTACAGTGAAGGGCCCAGTGTGCTCCTGGACCTTGTAGGATGGGTTTCCTTCCCTCAAAGACAGTGTAAATAATTCTTGGGAAACAAAGCACAGACTTTATTCTAGGCTATAATCCTGTTCCTTGCATGCTTGCATTCACTGGAGCACAGTGCTACACAACTTTTTGTGGATCATTTACAAGCCAACACAAAATTTAGATTCCAATTTGAAGCACTTCCCTCTTTTTATTTTGGATCTCACTCTTCACTGCAAATATTCTGGGCTTAAGATCAGCGTGGCACCTGAGAACACTTCCACTCAGATGGGAACTGGGGACACCAGTTCTGGAAAACAGAGGCAGCAGCAGCACCAGGGCTCTCTGTTATTCCTCTGGCTGATTCAGTATTTAATAATAAATAAAAGCCACGCTCAGTTTTCTGTAAACAAAAGTCTCTAAATGCGAGGGATGAGCTGGGCATTGCCTGCTGAGTGCAGTGTTTTGGGCTGCACTGGATCTCTGCCTGACATCTGTAATTCTCCCTGTGTGTTATGCAAATCACCCCCTATGCAACACCACGTTTTAAAATGAAACTGTGGAGAAAGATGGGTCTTCCCAAAACCAAACCTCCATTATCATCTTACTCCTCGCAAGAGCTGCTCTCTTTGTCTCTCCAGTGACTACAGAAGGCATCCAGGATGATCAGCTTGCCTTAATCATGGGCAAACCCGTGAAACAGATACCTCCAGGCCTCTCATCAGCTCCTTTTTAACGGGGCACGTCACCCTCTGAAGAATGCTGACCAAATAGCTCAACCTGAACTTCCCAGTTTCCTACCGTGGGTATTAACTACCCTGAAACAGGAATTCATTTACCTTGTGTATCACACCATAACTGAGGTGATTCTAGAGCTGCTTTATGAACCAGTCACCCCAGCTACTGCAGCCAACTCCTGTGGGTACAACAGACAGCTGTGTCAGCCGTCCTGTTTTAATCCACCACACATTTGAGTCAACTTCCTAAAATTAGACCCTGAGACTATTCCTCCTCTTCTCCTCAAACTACCCAGCTTTCACCTACAGGAGACATTAGTTATGTGCTGCAATTATCCAAGTCTCTGGCTCCTTCTCCACTGCAAAGAGGTTTGAATAACTTTTCTTTGCTAAGGGCCGAGAACAACGCGAGGCTTAAAAGTCACGTTTCTCTTGCAAATCAAAGTTACTCAAAACTCAGCGTGAAGTTGCAAGTTCATCTTGTACACTGTTGTCTCAGGCTGCCCCTGGATCCCTGGAAGTGTCCAAGGCCAGGCTGGACAGGGCTTGGAGCAACCTGGGCTAGTGGAAGGTGTCCCTGCCCATGGCAGAGGGTGGAACAAGATGGGCTTTAAGGTCCCTTCCAACTCCAACCACTCCATGACTCCATGATTCTAGATAAATGGAAAGAGAGGGAAAGACTGTGGCAGGTCTACTCTACACTCAACCTAATTTTTTCCTTGTTCTTCTCTGGTTTCTCATTAGTCCACCTTGGTAATAGCAGAAGGGCTCAGAAATGGAAAACCACAACATCTCTCCACCTGGATTTTATCCGGACGTTCATACAGAAATCAGTGATTTTGCTCAACAATCTCCTGAGCAAGAACATCAATAGTTTTATGTTCATAACTTTAAAGAAATCACTCAAAATGCAGATTCTACACTATCTGTCCCTTCCCAGTTTTGGTTCTCAGCTGGTTGATCCCACTGACTCACCGGTGTAGCACCAGGAAGCGGCTTTCCATTGATTTTGTGTAAACATTTCTCTGCAGTAGCTAGATCTGCAAATTCTACAAAGCAATAGCCTGCTGGAATTCTGAACATACAACACAGGAGAGAAGAGACAAAGGTTATGCATTAAAAACACATTCGAGGAGGAATTTTGTATTTTAGATAACTGGTAGGAAATTTGTTATCGTTGCAACACTTAGAACAGTTTCTTTTAAAAAGTATATACATTAGCTACCAAAAAGGAGGTAGAAATTCTGGATCTCAAGTAAAGGGATAGCCCCTACTTACCATAAATCATAAGCACACACAAAATGGTTTTGCTCACAGTTTACTTCCTACTTTCACTGACCATCAATTTTTCCACCCAAGTTTAAACATCTGAAAACTGAAATTACAACACTTAAAAGAATAATGAATCAGAATGAAACTACTTTATTCTGTGTCCAGTCACTCATTTTATCCCAAATGAACTCAAAAGGGTCTCCTATTGCTCCAAGTCAGACTTCCCACCTCTGCCAGCATCATGTAGCTGCACTACAGACCAGTCACCAAAGCCTTCAGCTGGGAGCTGCAATTCCCAGCGGGATGGAATGGGATAAATACACTGCTCTGACTGAGTGCTGGAGCACTTCAGGATGAGGGCCAAGCCTTGTTTGTTGAGGGGAGGCTGAAGAGCCAGCAGGGCCCTCTCCATTGCTCTCATCAATATTCCCATATTGGTGGCAGCAATGGTAAAAAGCTCAAAGGGAAAATCACTCTGACAAGGAAGGACCACGGTGAGGCTCCAATCCAAATGCACTGGGAGAACAAACATAAACAGTTACCCTGTCAACCTGTTTCGAATGATTTTTACACTCAGTACAAGCTCTCCCATGGTGGCAAAGGCTCTTGAAACAAAGTTTTCATCCATATAGGGCTCCAGCTATAAAAGCAAAAAAAAGAAAAGAAAAAAGTTAGATCAGGGCATCTACAAAAAAGAGAATTTATGTGTCAATGTCCCCCTAAGCAGTTAAAACATTATTGAGAAGGATTTTACCCTTACACTTCAAAAAGAAGACTCATTTAAGAGGGTCGATGCCACTCAAAACCAGCAGGCATGCATGAACCAGGCTCAACAGTCTGCAAAGTGGAACCCAAGAGACAGCATGAATTTCAGAGAACAGGGAGCTTCACAGAAGGACAAAAGCCACTCAGAAACATACAGCAACAAACTGAGCGTTCGCTACAGGGAGCGGGGGAGAAGGAGGTGCTGGGCTCCTTCTCTGGGCCAGCGCTGTGGGGACACAGGTGTGGCACGGCCCTGGGTGGCATGAGGCAGGTGACACGGCCCCCCTGGAGCTGAGGCAAGGGGCTGCAGAGCTGTGTCTGCCTCGCACAACCCCGGAGATACCGGGGCAGCACTCGGGGGGAGCCCTGGGGTCGCGTCCCGCTCCGTCCTGCCCGTGGGAGCACTGACCGCGCCGTGTCACAGGGGAGGGTGGCACCGTGCAGGGCAGGGGGTGTGCGGGGCGGTGAACACGCTGGAGAGCAGTGTCTGTGTGGTGTAAATGACTGACAAGTACGACACGGTGCTGGAGTTTGAAATAAATGCACGATGAAGGGCCCGAGGGAACAGGGCACCTCTCTGTGTAAGCGAAAGTGGAGGAGGGAACTAACAGAAATTAAGGGTTTTTTTGATGGGGAGCGCTGTGTGTAACACAGAGCTGTAAAATACATATAGGAAATATATCTAGCTCCATGTATGTAAGTACACACACCTCTGTGAGTAAGACAGGTGGCCCTGTGGTAACCGACAGCCCTCGAGCATGTCTGTGTGTCAGCCAGGTACCAGGTGACAGAATGTGCCAGGTGTGAAAGTGGGTGGCCACGCTGCACTCACGTGTGTAAGAGGCAGCAGATGCCCTGTGGGGGCAAGTGTGAAGCAGACCTGGCTGTTACATGTGCCAGAGGAGCGGGAGGCAGCACCACCCTGTGCACAGACCTGCCAGGTGATCCTGGGGGAGTGTAAAGGAAAGCTGGAGTTGTAAAGGCAACAGGTTGCTTGGATATGGCTGTCTGTGAATCAAAGAGAATCCTGCTTGTGAGAGGGGTGATGAAAAAGGAGAGGGGCTTATGGAGAGGTGGCAGATAACCCTCTGTGTGGGGAGAAGAAAAAAATGAGCAGACTCCATGGGGTCTGCTTGCATGAGCAGAGGCAGTGGAGGACCCCTGGATGTGTCATATCAGTGTGCAATGCCGTGGCAAAGTGGGTGTGCTGTGTGTGCGTGTGAGAGAAGCCTCCAGTGGGATCCTCAGGGACAAGGCACACTGTGGGCTCTGTATCTCTGTGAGTGTGCCCACGGTGTGCAGGTGAACAGGCAGCCAGACACCCCTGGGTGGAGAAGCATCCCTGAGTGTGCTTCTCATGGGTGCTTCTTCCTGCCAGGTGCACACAGAGGCAGGAATGAGGGAAATCCTGGGGTGTGGGACTGCTTGTGAGTGTGTGTTCACGTAGGAGAGTGTAAATGCCTGTGAGGGTGTGAATGCACCCATGGGTGTGCATGGGGGGGGCAGGTTGTGAGGGATAATCCTGGAGAGGCGTGTACAAATACACGAGTGCCTACGAGCATGAGTGTGTGTAAGTGCCTCAGAGCACACGAGCACGTAAGTGCCTACAAGCAGGTGAGCAGATAAATCCTTGAGGCATGCAAGGGTACAGGCTGTGAGTGTGGGGGTGTGTAATTGCCTCTTAGAGCATGAAAGTGGGAGACCTGTCAGTGCCTGCCCGCCAGGGACACTGGTGTAAGTGCCACGAGTGTGGCTGTGACCTGGCTGTGGGCAGGACACGAAGGTCACCCTGAAGGAGGGGTGTGTGTGTGTGTGTGTGAACTGTGTTCGTGTGTGTGAACTGCTCACAAATGTGCCTGTTGGGCTGGGGGTTGTGTCTGTGAGTGTGTGTGTGTGTATATCTGCCTGTGTGAGTGTGCCAGCGTGCACAGGAGAGCGTGTGTGAGGGGAGTGCCAGTCAGTTTGGGAGTTTATGGTGTGTCTGAGTGTGTGAGGGGCTGTCAGGGTGTGTCAGTGCGGGGGTGTCAGTGGTGTGAGGGTGTCAGTCAGTTGGGCGGTGTGAAGGTACCAGATGCTTGGTGTGAGGGTGCCAGTCAGAGTGAGAGTATAGGCAGTGTGAGGGTGTCAGTTGGTGCGTCAGACAGTCAGTGTGAGGGTGTCAATTGGTGTAAAGGTGTCAGTCAGTTGGTGTGAGGGTGCCAGTTAGAGTGAGAGTGTCAGCAGTGTGAGGGTGTTAGTCAGCTGCTGTGAGTGTCAGACAGTCAATGTGAGGGTGCCAGTCGGTGTGAGGGTGTCAGTCAGTCAGTCAGAGCGAGGGTGTCAGTTGGTGTGAGGGTGTTAGTCAGCGTGGGGGTGTCAGTCGGTTGGTGTGAGGGCACCAGAGTGAGAGTGTCAGCAGTGTGAGGGTGTCAGTCAGTCAGGCAGAGTGAGGGTGTCAGTGGTGTGAGGATGTCAGTAGTATGAGGGTGTCTGTCAGTTGGTCAGTGTGAGGGTGCCAGAGTGAGAGTGTCAATCAGTGCCAGGGTGTCTGTCAGTCAGTGTCAGGGTGTCAGTGGTGTGAGGGTGCCAGAGTGAGGATGCCGATCAGTGTCAGGGTGTCAATCAGTGTCCGGGTGTCTGTCAGGCAGCGGTGTGAGGGTGTCAGACTAAAGGTGCCAGTCAGTGTGAGGGTGTCGGTGGTGTGAAGGTATCAGCCGGCCGGTGTGAGGGTGTCAGAGTGAAGATGCCAATCAGTGCCAGGGTGTCAGCGGTGTGAGGGTGCCAGAGTGAGGGTGTCAGTCAGTCAGTGTGAGGGGGCCAGACTGAGGGTGTCAGTCAGTGCCAGGGTGTCAGTGGTGTGAGGGTGTCAGAGTGAAGATGCCAATCAGTGCCAGGCTGTCAGTCAGCCAGCGGTGTGAGGTGCCAGTCAGTGACGGTACCAGGCGGTCAGTGCCCCCCGCGCTCCCCCGGCCCCGCCGCGCTCCCGCCGCCCCCCGCCCTCCCCTCACAAAGCCGCGCGGTCCCGGCCGGACACTCACGTCCCCCATCCACAGGCTGGCGGCCATGCTGCTCCCGCAGGCCCCGCGGCGGGTTCAGCGGGGCCGCGCGTTCCGCCTCCCGGCCCGGCCCCGCCGCTGCCGCCGCCGTCCCTCCCTCCGCCCCACCCCCGGTCCCTCCGTGCCCCGGGCCCTCGGTCCCTCCCCCGGTCCCGCCCGGCCCGGCCCGGCCCGGCCCCGCCGCCTCCTCCGCGGCCCCGGGCGGGCGGAGAGAGCGGCGCCCCCGCCGCCGCAGCGACCCCTGCGGGCAGGAGGAGCGAGCGCCGCGGGAGCGAGGGCGTGTGAGGGGAGCGGGGCCGGGCGGGTTCGGGGTGGTGTGGGGAGGGGTTCGGGGTGATTTGGGGAGGGGTTCGGGGTGATTTGGGGAGGGGTTCGGGGTGATTTGGGGAGGGGTTCGGGGTGATTTGAGGAGGTTTGAGGTGATTCGAGGGGGGTTTGAGGTGATTCGAGGGGGGTTCGGGTGGTGTGGGGAGGGGTTCGGGGTGATTTGGGAGGGGGTCGGGTGGGGTTGGGGGAGGGGTGCGGGTTGATTTGGGAGGGGTTCGGGGTGATAGTTGGGGAGGGGTGCGGGTGTGTGGGGAGGGTGCGGGGTGGATTTGAGGAGGGTGTTGAGGTGATTCGAGGGGGGGTGGAGGTGAGTCGAGGGGGGTTCGGGGCTCCTCAAGGAGAGTCCGGGGGAACTTGAAGAGCGTTTGGGGAGATTTGAGGAGGGTTCGAGGTGATTTGAGGGGGGGGTTTGGGGCTCCTTAGGGAGGGTTCGGGGGAGCTTGAAGAGGGTTTGGGTAATTTGAGAAAGGTTTGGGGTGGTTTGAGGAGGGTTGGGGGCTCCTTGAGGAGGATGTGGGGAAACTTGAAGAGGGTTCGGGGTGATTTTAGGAATGTTTGAGGTGATTTGATGCGGGTTTGGAGACACTTGAAGAGGGTTTGGGGCTCCTTGAGGAGGGTTTGAGGCAACTACAACCACCTGAAGGAAGCTTTTAGTGAGGTGGGGACCGGTCTCCTCTACAGTATCTGCAGTGACAAGAGGAAATGGCCTCAAGCTGAGACAGGGGAGGTTCAGATTAGATATTAGAAAAAATCACAGAATATTCTGCACTGGAAGGGACCCAGAAGGATCATCCAGTCCAACCCCTGGCCCTGCCCAGAACACCCCAACAATCCCACCCTGTCCCTCACAGCGTTGTCCAAACCCTCCTGGAACTCTGGCAGCCTTGGGGCTGTGCCCACTGCCCTGGGGAGCCTGGGCAGTGCCCAGCCACCCTCTGGGGGAAGAACCTTTCCCTAAAATCCGACCTGAGCCTGCCCTGACACAGCTCCATGCTGTGGCAAGGCCAAAGACTGAGCGTGGGGGGTTTTTTTGTGATGATGAATTTTGGGAGAGGCCAAAATCTCGGCTCCCCTCCATCCAACTGGGCAGAAGATGAATCAGAAGCCCTGAAACCCAAACTGGGGCTCTGAGCTTGGACCGCTGCCTGCTCACAGAGACAGGACATCCATCCTCGGGGTCATCAGCCCAGCACGTGGGGTTGGATTTGGGTATGGTGTGATCCTCCCTCCTCTCCTGTTCACTCCCGCAGGCCTTTGACAGCAAGGGTGGCAATTCCTGGAAGAAATGAGCCCCCTCGTTGTGATGGAGCAGAGCCGAGTCCTCCCGGGCTGCTCTCGGCAGAGCTGGTTGGCATTTTGGGATCACCCGCTCCTGGTCACGGGAGCTGTGCTGTGTGAGCCCCGTGCCCTCTTAGGGAATGCCGGGCTGTGGTTGTGCACGCCATAAATCCAGCTGGCGATGACAGGGACACTCCAAACCCTCCGCGTTATTTTTGCCTCCGTAGCTCAGGCTCCGGGCGATCCCGGGCTGCGGCTCCAGCGTTCCCGTCCCATGAGAGGGCAGCACGAGCCCGCCGGTGTCGGATACGGGTTTTTAGGTGCTGAAATTGGGCAGCATCAGTTCTGAAACTCCTTCGGAAGCGATGTGAGTGTGTCTGCTTAAACCTTGCCCCGGAGCGTCCCCATTCCGGTGACTAATGTGTGAAACCAACCAGGAGTGGTTTTCCCTGCCGATAAAAAGTGTGGTGAACATCGATCCTTCCTACATTCCTGCAGGAGACTGTGGAAATCCTTCATCCTCATGCTGAGCAGGGTCTGCAGCTCTCATCATGCTGCAGCATGGCCAGGACTGATTGCTCTGGAACATCAGCTCTTGGGTGTGTAAGACATAAGATTAAAACCATATTGATTTATTTTCTGATTTTTGAGTCCCTAGAGCACGCTCAGGTTGTTTTTCCAAGCTCTTCTCTAAAGCATTGTAAAATCTGGCATGAAATCAGACAGCCAGCAAGACCCACAGCTGACAACTCAGCTGAATAAAGATGTTGGGTTGTCAAGTAGCACTTTCTGTGCCTCGATGTCACTGGCAATGTGGTCTCTTGCAAATTCACCCTCAGAAGTCCCTGCTGAGTCTGCCTTTCAAGTGTCAGCTCCCAGGATGTTTTTTTCCTCCCAGCATGGCCATTTATCCACTGGTTAGCCCCAAGCTCTGCTCTGCAGAGCCCACAAAGCTGTCACTCATCCTCTGTTATTACTTACAACTGCTCAAAGCCAGTAGTTTGTTCTTTGTCATTTAATGAAGTGAGTCCAGTGCCTTTAATAACCCCTTTCTATTTTTCCTTCCAGCTGAGTAATACAGAACTTGCTTTTCCTGGGATAATCCATAGAGATGGATGTTGGGCAAGGAAAATGCAGAAGGAAGCCAGGATCATGTGAATGTGTTGGACCAGGAGAAAATAAGAAGTTTGTATTCAGTGTTTATCTGAAGTGATTGCTATTTATGCACCTAACCTTGTGACAGAGCAAAAACACTGCCAGAAGAATGTTATTACCTGAAAAGCTGTTTATTCCCCCAGATTCATGAACCAACAAAGAGGCCCTAAAAGGAAGATGTGGGGATCCCTCTGTCCTATGTGTGGGTGTCAGCAGCCAAACCATCTGTGTCCCCTGTTCCCTCTGCTGGGACAGCAGGGATTTCTGGGTCTAGGAACTTGGTCCTGAAAACTGCTGAGTAAACTCCAGTTAGTGTTTCCTGGAATCCACTGGAGGGGTGGTCCCTGAACCCATTTTTTAGCTGGTCACTGGGAGCTTTAGCCTGTCGAAGGGCCCAATCCTGGGAGCTTCAGGGCTCTTCAATCCTCAGTAACTTTGATTGGAGTTAAGGGTCACTCAGTACCTCCTGGGAGGAGGCCCTGAGCGGTCTCAGCTTTTAAAGTTAATGGTTTTGAGCGTGAGAATCTGGCCTGGGAGTTTTTAATTTGACTTTGCTGGTTTTAGGTTCAGCTTGAAACTGTCTCAAATAGATTTTGTGCCCTCAGTACTGAATGTTACTTTGTTAGAGCCTTCCCTGTTGTTGGTCTTACAGGTGCCAAGTCCATCCCTTGTCTTAGGCAACTGTAGCCAATGGGCTGAGATCAGGGATGACTTTGGCCAGGGATAATTGACATAATAAATAAAATTTGAAACAAAAAAAATTATATATAAATCAAAAGTTTGAGTTTGGAATAGCTTCTGAGATTCTGAAAGTAACTGAAGTAATCCAGGAGAAAATATGCCATGAAATCTGTTTTCCATTATTGCATGAGATGGTATGTCTTAAAATTTGATCAAACCCATTTTTTTTATACGATGAAGACAATGCAGCTCAAAGTGATGTGGAGATCTGGGGTCATTTTCAATGTGGTATTTGTAAATTATTGTAGACTTGACATTCTTATTCATTTGTTTGATAAGATTTGCTTTTCCTGCTGTGATCTCACAGCAAACAATTTCTGACTGAGTGGTATTTTTGAAAGAAGTGGTAGTGGAACCTCATTATTGATACATTTGTGCCTGCTAGTTTTCTTATCCAGACCAAGTCTGTTGTATAACAACACAGTGCAGTGGGAGAGACCTGATGGCCTCTCTTGCCTTGTATTTGAGAAGAAGTGAAGTCACTTATGTGACAGTCCCATGTTCATATTCCCCCGTGGGTTTTGTAATATTCTCCGGCAAAACCAAGACCAAACAGGACAAGGACACTCCATTCCTGTTGCTTTAAAGGAATATATTTCCAGCTTGAGTGGCTTCTGAGCTCGATAGCTGTGAGCAACAACACACAGAGTCCAGTGTGGGGAATAACTACACACATCAGTGAGCAAGAGGGGCCAGAGGAGTTTATTGCCAGGGCTGTCAGCTTTCCCCTTCAGGAGCAGATGTGCTCCCCTTGCTGCTTTTGCATTCCTATTCCCACACCATCAGTCAATCCCTGTGCCTCTGTAGTTTTTATCCACTTCATATCTTTCCTGAGGGATGTCCTTACTCCCTCCTCAGAGGGAATTTGCTTTGGAGGCTTCATCCATCCCCACAGGCATCAAATCATAGGCTGACGTATCTCACGAAGCCACGAGTCAACCGAGGTCCATCTCAGATTGTGGATGTAATTTAGGGTCAAAAGGAAGCCTGTTTCTTGTTTTCTCCCTTGGTAATACAGGGAATTCACCCTCAGAGAATTTATGAACATGTCAGTTGGTCAAATAAGAGTGTTCTGGATATTTGCAGGAATAATTTACTACCTGGCAGGGCTCGTTTGTTTACATCCTCCATAGGGATCCCGTGGGACAGACTTAATCCTGGGCCTGGATATTTGATTGAGGACAGCTCTTGGGGTATCTGCTGGGATGTTTGTAGTCCACAGACAGTCAGCTGTGGGATGTTTTAAGGTAAAATAAATATATATGAGCTTTTCCACCCCATCAGTGAGGATCTGTGTAACTCCCAAACTGTTCAGCTCATGGCTCAGTGCAAACACTTCTGATGTTGCTGAAAACAAACCCCAGTCTGCTCAAATTGATTTTAAAGGCGACAGAAAACCCAAGAGGTCGTGCAAGTGCCTTGTTTGATCAGAGCCAGCACAGGGGAAGGCACGGCACAAGGCTGGCAGGGAAAGAGGGGAAGCTGGAGGCTGAGAGTTGATGGATTCATCAGGGCATCCCTGTTGGATACAGCAGGGCTGGAAGGTGGCAGTACCAGCTGATGAGTTTTCACTGCAGCAGCTTGTACCAATCTCTGCTGCACCCCCAGCACTCAGGTGGGCACGTGTGTGTGTGTGTGGAGCAGTGCAGGACGTGTGGGAGAAGGGCTGCTCTTCACTTTAGGCTTCTAATCCAAGCACTTCAAACAGGTGCCTGGAGTTAAGGGGCTAAATCAGGGTTTGTTTCTCTATCCTCTTGTAAAATGCAGTTAAAGACACTTTCTATGAGTTCCAGTCTTATCAAGCCCCAAGCAGCATGTGAAGTGTTCAGTTTATTCTTCACTGAGTGTGTCTTTTGCCCTCTGCAAATTAAAAATCTGGCATTGGGTGGGTGTCACACCCACGCCATGAAGCCAGTGGCAAAGCTGGGCATGGGGTGGCAGAGCAGAAGCACGTGGTGATCTGGTCCCAGTTATGTGACATCTGGCTCTGCCTTCAGCCTTAAAACTGAGCTGCAAACACAGCAGCAAGTGCAGATTGCTGGAAAGGTCTTCACAAAGTGCCACAAGTGATCACTGCTCAGAAAAATAACATGTGAGGGACTCGGGGGTCAATCTCTGGAGCAGGTACAAGTCATGTGCTCGCTCAGATGCTGCTGGAGATCCACCAAGGAGGCTCCTCAGGGAGCTATCAAGGCTCCCTCAACTCTTGGGTCTCTCCAGCAGCTTGTGCAGTTGAATTAACATTTACTGTTGGTGCATTTCTCCCCACAAGTCTGAAAAAGGTTCTCCTAGACAACCATTCCAACAGCAAGGACAACCAGAGTGAGTTTATAGGGGTGGGAATCAGCTCAGTAGCAGCACAGCAGAGAAGGATGTGGAGGTTTTAGGGGACCACAGCTGATTATGATTCAACAGTTGGTGCTTTGTTAAAAAAAAAAAGGCTATTTTTGTTCTGGCAAGTGTTAACAGGAAAGTCACGTGAGACACAGGGTGATTAATCCATGCCACTCTGGGAGGCATCAGTGCTCCCAGTTTGGAGCACCCAGGGAGAGCAGGACACACTGGAGACCAAAGGAGACCCAGAGGAACAACTAAAACTCTGGACCTATGGAGGAAGATTAAATAAATCCAGAAATAGAAGAGGAAGGGTAGGTTTTGCTGAGGACAGTCTTCCAGTGGTGGAAGGTAAGAGGCTGAATCTGTTCTCCTCTGACTCTGCTGTAGGGAGGATGGGAAGGTGCTGAACTTCCAGCAAAACACACTTCAAGGAGGTTTTTCCAGGTTTTGTCTTATTAGGCAGGGAGGCTTCCCATGGGAATATTGGTGTGGTTTCTCTCAGTACCTCAGCAGAGCACCCGAATATGGTGTCCATGTGCTGGGTGATGCATGTGGAGGGACTGGATCATTGCTTTGGGGGTGGAAACATTGCTCCTCTGGGCTTGGAATTCTTGGGATTCAGTGACACTGAGGAGCAGGGAATTTGAAAGGGTGGGAGAGGTGTATCCACACACAGGGAGCAGGCTTGAATGTCCAAATCCACCTGCAGATCTCCCACGGACTCCCTAAATTTTCATGTTTAGAATGTAGAACTGGAACCAACTATGCAGAATAAACCAGAATAACACCAAAACCTGGCAATTTCTATGAATGAGACCATCACAGTTACAGTTACTGGGCAGATGATCTCAAGGGAATTTTCCAAGGATCTGAACCTTATATTTAAAAAACCCAAACAGCCCTAACAAATGAGGAAGGGGAGGGGAGATAAGATGAAGTCCACACCTCTTCCAGGATGGGATACTCATGTTTTTGCACACTGTAGAGTATATTAAATCTGTAAGGCTGATCTGAGGATATCTGGGTGCAGTAAATGCTGTAAATGCCTGAAATACTCTGGATTTGATGGAGAACTACCCATTTTGGAGGTCAGTGGGGGAATATTCTGCCCCAAGGAGGCCAATTGAACTGATGATTTTGGTGAGCAGAGAGCCTGTAGCCACCTGAATATTTCCTTGGTCACCAACAGCCCAGTTTACCAAGAGCTGCTTTCTCAGAGGTGGTTTGTTGCTGAAAAAAAAAATAAATCAGAGAAATCAAACATTTGGATTGCTTCTCTGATTCCAACAAACACAGATCAGGGAATTAGGGTGGGAATCTTGAAGAGTTTCCTCTTAAGTTTAAAGAGGACAAAGCCTTGCTGTGTGAACTCTTTGGCTTTGGGGTTCCAGAAGTAAATTGTAGTTTCCTTGTTTGTGCTCCTGAGGTTTCCAGCAGGCTCTGGGACAGGGATGCAGCAAGGAAATTGTTCCTGAGCTTGCTCTTGTTTTAGTGAATGCTGCCAAACTGAAGGGAAGGTCGAAATTCCCTCTTTTTTCCAGCCTCAAAGCTCAGCAGGTTTTCCACAGGCTCGAACTGCAAAGGTTTTGTGGGAGGTCCTTTTGACTTTTAAATTCCAACCTGTTTTCTCCTCTTTTAGCAGAGATAAATTGAGATCATTTCAAACTCCCTGAAGTGCTTTTCCAGGTATTCTTTGGCTTTGATGAAAGGCAGCTAGTGTCCATATCAAAAAGCATCCAGGGAAAAATTATTAATTTCCTTCTTTTGTGTGGCAGGGAGGTTAATGGGGCCACCAGTGCTGCCCTGCAGCTGGCCCAGGGTGGAGGGTTTTCATCTCCCTGCTTCATTTTGAGCTGCTTGGAAGCCCTAAAGCCCTTTGGTTCTCCATGGAGTGGTGTTGCTTTTCCTGTTTCTAGTGAGTTACTGGTTCTTGGACAAGGTGGGATTTAGTGGGAATCTTGTGGGATTTAGTTCTTCAGCAAAAGCATCCTTTCCCCACAGTGTTAATTACTCACTTGTGCCAAATGGGGAATGAGAAACAGAGTTTAAGGATCTAATTAGCATTTGCTTCTCCCTTCAACAGATCAGCTTTTACACTCATAAACTCGGTGATAAAACTATTTTCAGTTACTTTCTACTCATCTGAGAATCTTGCAGCCTCCACAGAATCGGAACTTCCAGGTTAGGAAAACAAACATATGGAAAGAAAAGCTAGAAATAATATCTTGCTGCCTTTAAAAAAGGACAAATGACATTTTTATGTGCATTTATCTTCTTTTTTAGCCCAGCAGTGATTACTGTACGTGCCAGAAGTACCTGTTAATATTAAATCTTCTTCACAAATCTTTTGTTCTGACATATCCAGAGTGGGCACAGTTTAAAAATACATATATTTTATCCCAATTTGGCTTATTCCCTTATAGGAGTAGGTAACATAAGGTACCATTGTAACAATCTGAGAGTGTCTAAGGAAAGCAATATTATCTTCACCACCACAGACTGGCATAACTAAAGCAGTGTTGAAAAGCCATAGGTCAATGTTATTGCTTTGGATCTATATCAAGGAATGCTACAATTTTTTTTTTAAACAAGTGTTTCTTCTCAGAAATCAGGACTACAGGATTTGATTCAGGGTTCTTAATTCTGGAAGGCGTTTTGAGGTTTGCTAAAGGTGCCATGTTTAGTCATAAAAATAACAAAATGAAAAATACAGGAGTGTATTTATAGTAAGAATAATGAAGATTTATAGGGTAACGATAGTTGCAGTGCTCCTGGCCTGGGAACTCTGTATTGAACAGAGTGATTGAATGTTTGGCTTTTAAAAAGAGAGAGAGAAAAAAAAAAAAAAAACCTAACCAACAAAAAAACCAGATGAATAATGAAAAACAAATCCTTTCTCTGGTGAAAAGCCAAACCTGTGTTTTGAAAATTAAATGTTTTTTTGGGTTAAGCGGTGAAAAAATGGACTTGATCTTTGCAACAGCTTGGATTTATTATTGGAAGCAGTTGGCTGTGCCATGGAGGAGAGGA